GAGGAGGAGGAGGAGGAGAGGAGGAGGAGGAGGAGGAGGCGGAGGAGGGAGGGGGAGGGAGGAGGAGAATTTGGGAACATGGGAGGATTCTGTAAGGTATGTGGTTTATGTCTGGCATGCCCCTTTCCAGGAGGAGCATCTCAAAATAACAAACACGGTCCGGGGGCTAGCTTCGAACAGGTTCGACTATTTTGGGGGTATGTTCGATTCTTTTGGGGCTATTTTGGGGGGTATGTTTCGAGCATGTTTGTTTGCTCTTCTTGCAGGATCCGCCTGCCCGACCTGTTGTTGGGCCACTCCTTGCGCGTGGCCGATGGCGCCGCGGAGAGGGCGCCCCGCGGAGGGCGCCCGCCGGCCTGCCGCGCGCCCCGCGCGCCGCCTCTCGGGGGCCCTCGCGCCCTCGGAGGCTCGCTGCGGGCAGCAGTCCTCGCGGCCCGGGCCCGGCACCCGCGCGGGAGGAGGAGGATCGAGGAGGCGGAGGAGGAGGAGGAGGAGGAGGAGGAGGAGGAGGAGGAGCTGGAGGAGGAGGAGGAGGAGGAGGAGGAGGAGGGAGGAGGAGAGGAGCAGGAGGCGGAGGAGGAGGCGAAGGAGAGAGGAGGAGGAGGAGGGAGGAGGAGGATGATCGAGGAGAAGGAGGAGGAGGAGGAGGAGGAGGAGGAGCACGAGGAAGAGCACGAGGAGGACGAGGAGGATGAGGATGGAGGAGGAGGAGGAGGAGGAGGAGGAGGAGGAGGAGGAGGAGGAGACCCCGGAGCAGCTCGGCCGGGGGTCGACCAGACTCCGAGGTGGATAGACCTCCTACCCTGACACGTCGATTACATTGAGCGGCTTGAATAAGGAGCACTTACTTTTCAAAAGGGGCTCGGTCGTTCCTTAGGCTTGCGTGCGTTTTCTACAAGTCCTTATGCGTTGTTTGTAATATATCGTTCCTTATGCGTTATTCCTTGGGAAAAATGGGCTTCGTTCCTGATTTATCGTTCCTTAGGTCAGGCCGATGACTGTAAGGAAATGGCCGTTTTCGGCTCGCGAGAGGGCGTCGCGGCCGTTATTTTTGCGGGTCCAGGTCCGTCGGTTTCGGTCCCAGGTCGGTGTCACTAAGGGGAGGTTTACTAAGGGGAGCTCTGCACGAACGAAATGGGTACGGAAAGAATGGGCACAATGCCCAACAGCGCTTCCTGTTCATTGTGAACAGGACTCACTGTCCGCGCCGCCGCGGCCTGTGTCCGTTTGAGACAGGAGGCCGCCTGCCCAACAGCGGCCGCCGTTGGTTTGGGACAACATTTGTTGTTGGGCATTGTGCCCATTCTTTCCGTGCCCAATTCGGGCGTCCAAAGGAGCAGCTCGGCCGGGGGTCGACTAGATGTAAGTGTGACCTTTCGCCGGAGTGACCTTTGATGCGGGCCCAATGGGTTCCTCCAGTCGCCGAATGCGATGCGACAGGAGCGTCTTGCGCGCTTGGGTTTGTCCCCCCCGCGGTCCCCCCAAAGCCGCGCACCAAAGGTCACTCGTACCCAGGGTCACTCTTGCGCGTAGTTGACCGGGGGAGCACCGGGGGCGGCAGAGAGGGGGACGACGACTAAGGGGGGGGATGCACAGGGGAACGACGGATGACACAAACATAAAAACTCTGAGGTCCGCGCGGACTTTCTCGGATCCGCGCTTGGGCTCCCTGGCGGCGCCTCCGGCGCCGCCCCCGGCGCGCTCCGCGCACCGCTCGCTCGGGAGGGGGTCCAGCGCGGATCCATGAAGTCCGCGCGGGCCTCCGAGTTTCTATGTTTATGTCGCTCTTCGTTCCTCTGGCGATGACTAGGGGGGGGGATGCAGGCCTCGAAAGAAATCAGCATCGATCTGTCAATGCTCCCCCCAAGGATCAGTGCTGGCGGTGGGCTGAAGGAGCTGCACTTTGACCGCAGTCTTCCCCGCGTGTGCCAACTTTGAATTGGGGGGAGGGGGAGTGTCCACTAATTGTTTGCCTCTACCGTATCATGGCGGGGGCCATGAAATCTCCCCAGATTTCATGGCGCCTCTTCTTGTTTCAATGCGTCCCCGCCACCCCCTAAGCCGCGCACGTGCTGCGGGCCATGATTTGCGCCCCCCCCGCTCTTGGATGCCCCGCTCTTGGACGCTCCCGAGAGCAGCTCGGCGCGAACAACAGCGGAAGCACGCGATCGTTTTCTTATTCGTTGTTTTGCAGATCGGCGCGAAGCTGGGGGGGGCTCGGAGGGGAACAGTTCCCCCAGCCCTCCAAGCCTCCTCCTGAAAGGGGTTTTTTCAAAGGTTCCAACCCTTCCTGAGGCAGGCTTGCAGGAGGGAGCTGGGGAGAAAACCTCTCCCGAACCCCCCACTCTCCACCTCTGTTTTTTTTAGGGCCGAGGAGAAACACATTTTGACCCCCCTCATATATAGTTTTTCTTACTCCATGTTTTGCCGATCGGCGCGGGCCCTGGCACCCCCTCCCCCCCTCTCCCCCCCCTTTCCCCCCCCTCCCCCCTCCCCCTCCCCCGGTCACGGAGTAGAGCTTAGCTGTTTAAGGCTCCCGTTTCAAGCAGGCGGAGTCTCCCCCATAGGACGCACTGTTTCAGACAGTCGCATCAAGTAGAGGTCCAGAACCAGACCCCCCCTCCACCCCCCCCTTCCGCCCAGCGTCGAAACGCCGAGTAAGGAAACGTTCACCACGACGAGCGCCCCTCCTGGCGAGCTCAGAGCGCCGAGGAATCCACGTGGAGCCCTCTTGGAGCCTCCCTGGGGCCCTCTCGAGGCCCTCTTGGGGCCCTCTTGGGGCCGCTCTGGGCCGCCTCAGGCCCTCGTCGAGAGGGCCGCGGCCGTCCCCTCTTTTCCTCCCGCTTGCAACTCCCCCCCCCGTCGTGTGAGAGCATCAGGCTTGCGTTCCGTCGGGCGTGTCCCTCTGCAGGAGGAACATTCCGGAACAGTCCAAAACATAGTCAGGGGACTTTTTGGTGGGTTTGCTTGTAAAACAAATTGTTCGAGCGTGTTTGAATCTACTCCAGATTTCGTAATAAAGGGAGGGGGTCTCATTTCGGGTCTCTTCCAGGCTATCTTGGAGGGCCTGGGGGGGTCTGGGGACGATGTTTTGGAGGGTCCTCCCACGGGGGAGGTCTGAAATGGCTTGGCTTGGAGGGTCCAGACCCCCCCTCTTTTTATTACGAAATCTGGAGTATGTGCTTTGGCTATGCCCTTACCTCTCGCCCAGCATCCGCCCGCAGGGGGACCCGCCCGACCCGAGCCTTGCAGACGCCCGCTGGCCCGCCACGGGTCAGGAGCTCCTTCTCCGCGTGTCGCGCCGCGGGCTCCGCGCCCACCGCGCCTCGGGGCCGGCACGCTGCCCACGCTCCAGCTTCGCAGGCCCAGAGGTTGACACTCCTCCTCCTCCTCCTCATCCTCCTCCTCCTCCTCCCTCTCTTCCCTCTCCTCCTCCTCCTCCTCCTCCTCCTCCTCCTCCTCCTCCAACACCAATATCGGCGGTGTGCATCCACCGAGGGAGGAAGATCCCGATCTCGGCGATGGTGGTAAGTATTCTGGCTTCCAAAGGTGGCCGAACTGTTGCCACCAACACCGAAATCGAGGATCGTTTTCCCCTGTGGAGGCAACTCCTTGTGTTGGTGGTGGTGCCCATTACTAGGCCTCCAGTCCAGGGGAGGAAAAACCACCCAGACCGGACAACCGGCGTTCACGAAACGGCCCTGGGCGTTTGCTCAACAGCACTGCTCTGTTCGATTCCTTCTTTGGGGGCTGTTACCAAAGGACTTCGCGCGTCGGGGTGGTTATCCTGGGGGTGGCTTTTTTGACCTCTAACCACGCTTCGGGGTGGCACGCTGTCCACGCCCCCACTGCCAAGGGTCCACGCCCCAAGCTGCTTCCGGTCTCCCGCCCCGCGGAGCGGAGCGACACGCTGTCTTTCTGCAGGGCGCAGCATGCCGCCGGGGCTGCCGCCGCGACACGCTGAGCAAAAGCTTCCTACCGTGGCACCAGCAACGCGAGCGTCTGCGCAGTGGGAATCGCAGGAATGAGGGGGAAGGACGGAAATTCAAAGACGAGGGTCTCGCGGAGCGCCCGGGAGAACGCTCGTTGTCTGTGCGTGCTTAGTCCACCGAGCACTTGGGTTCTGGGCTCGCTCTGGCCGACGTTTTGTGGTCTTGGTTCCTTGATTCCTTGGTCTTGGTTCCTTGATTCCTTGGTATTGGTTCCTTGCTGTCTTGGTTCCTTGGTTCCTTTTAGTTGTTTGTCTTGGTTCCTTGGTTCCTTGCTCTCGGCCCCCTGGCTCCATCGGCTTGGTTCCCTGTCACGTTTGGTTTCGTGGTGTTGGCTGCTTGGCTACCTGGTCTTGATTTCCTTGGTTCCTTGGCCATGGTTCCTTGGTTTGGTCTTGGCCCCGTGGCTCCTTGGTTACTCGATTTTCTAGAGTTGTTTCTGGTTGCTTGGTTTGTCTTTGTACCTTGGTTCCTTGGGCCCTTGTTCTTAGTTCCCTGGTTCCTTGGTTCGTCGTTCCTGCTTCCTTGCTGCCTCGCCACGCATGCCAAGCAATGCCGCGCAATGCCACGCAATGCCAAGCAGTGCCGGCCAGTGCCAAACACTGCCAAGCCACGCGAAGCACTGCCAAGCAATGCGAAGCATTGCCAGGCATTCTGCCAAGCAACCTGCCAAGCAAGATGCCAAGCAGTGCGCCCATGCAGCAGGAAGCCTTCCCCCAATTGGGTCCACTCAACATCCGCAGCTGGCTCAGGGACCTCGGCGCCGCCCTAGAGCGCGCGCGCGCGCGCCTAAGCTGGGGAGACCAAAAGGTACCCATGCCGCTACTCCACGGGTCTCTCCCAGGGTGCGTTCCGACCAGGATCTCAGAGCGAACCCGGCGGTGGCGGCGACGGCCTCCCAGGGGTCCCCCCAAAAGGCGAAGACGCAGGAGGGGCAGCCCCCCTTCACAGCGCCTCGTCGGCGCCTTCGTGGGTACCTTCCCCCTTCTCTGATAAGCCCCTCGCCGCCGCATGACGTCGCCGGCAGCGCCGCCGCAGTCGGTGCGGGCGCGCCTGAGCGGCGGCCTCTCGTGGGAGCTGCCAGGAGACCTGAAGGCCGGGGAGGTGCGCGCGCGCGTCGCGGAGGAGCTGGGCGTGGCCGAGGATCAAGTCGTCGTCGTCGCCGCCGCCACCGCCGCCGCCGCCCTAAGCGGAGGAGAAGCCACCTGGACCCCAGAACGGGCGTTCCCTGGACGGTCCTGGGCGGTTGCTGAGCAGCCCTGCCCCGTGCGAGGCCTTCTTTCGGGTGCGCTTTCGAGACGGCTTCGCCTCGTCGGGGTGCTGCGTATCATGAGGGTGCTCTTCTCAGAAGGGTCACCCTTCATGATCCTAGCTGCCCGGATACCCTCGTCTTGAAACGCAACACGTACCGTGTTCAAGACGTCTGTGTCGATACGCTGTGTGTTGGTTCAACGTATTTGCCCACGTTTTGGCGAACGTACCCCGTCAGACCTACGTTCTCAGTCTACGTGTTGAGCTCCGTATCGATGCGCTACGTGTTGCCGTGTTGCGTAGCGGGGCAGCTAAGCTCATGATAAGCCACCGCCCTCAGAGCAGCCACCCTCAGAAGAGTCGCCTGCTCTCCAGAGGAGCACTTGGAGCTCATCGACAGCAGCGGCAAGAGGCTCGACGACGCCGCCAGCTTCGCCGCCGCGGCCGGCGAGGACCCCGACGGGGCCGACGCGGCGGCGGGCGGAGCCCCCGGGAGCGTGGACCTGCTGGCCGTCATCCTGGACGCCGCCGAGCAGTCCCTGCTGCAGGTCTCGGGGAGGAGTGAGGCAAGACGCTGAGGTAAGGAGCGGTTTGGGCTCGGAAGGGGGCTCGGTGTTCCTTCATTCCGGCCGCACATCTGGTTAAGATGTGGGGATCGTATTTCTTACAGGTATCATCTCGAGCGGAGGAGGCTGACGCATCCCTTGACTTTCCGCGGACAACTGGCCGGCAGGCTGGCCCAGCTTCTTGAGCGCGTTCGCCTTCCTGCGTTAACGCGAGCACTTGGCCCAGGTTTGCCCTAAGAAACCTCCAGAGTTCTGGCCCGGGTTTCTGGAACGATGCTTTTCTTGGTCAGGTTTGCAGCTGCAGGTCCTTCCGTGGCTGCTTCTCTAGCGCCGCTCGTCCACGCAGGCGCTCCTGGCGCCCAAAAATCGGAGGTAGATAGACCTCCTACCCTGACACGTCGATAAAGGAATTGGCCGTTTTCGGCTCGCGAGAGGGCGTCGCGGCCGTCATTTTTGCGGGTCCAGGTCCGTCGGTTTCGGTCCCAGGCCGTCTTCACTAAGGGGAGGTTTCCTAAAGGGAGGTTTGTCCACCGCCGAAAAAAGGGCCTCGCTTCTCATGCAGCGCTCCTCGTCCACGCAGGCGCTCCTGGCGCCGAAGCAAGGGCCTCGCTCCTCACGCAGCACTCCTCGCGGCAGCAGACCTTCTGACCGCGCTCCAGCAACGAACAGCACTCGGATGCTCGGCATCGCCTGGCCGCGTGCCTTGTCCTCGGCGAGGTCAGCGCCATGAGCTCTGGACCATCTTAGGAGTAAGTCGGGCCTGTCCCTCTACAGGGGGAATGCTTAGGCATAGTAAAAACATGGTCGGGGGGCTATCCTTTGAGTATGTTTGACCACTTTGGGGGTATTGTCTATTTTTTCACTTGTCGTCCAAACTCCCCCTGTGGGGGGGGGCACGCCCGACCTGATCTTGGGAGTGTCTTGGACCATCTCGAGACACAGACGCGAGCGACACCGAGAACCCTGCAGGGTGGAGGGGCGTCCGGGCGATGGCGAGGGCGGCAGCAGAGGCGACGAGAGCAGCCCGTGCGCTCCCGGGTGCTGTCCTTCCGGTTGCCCAGGTCGGGTATAGCCAGGACCCGTGCCACGAATCGGGGGCGGAAAAGAGGGGGGTGATGACTGGGGGGGGTTGGATATCATGGCGTGGGCTATGATATTTCCCCAGATTTCATGGCGCCTCTTCTGATTTCATTACGTCCCTGGCCCCCCCGCTGGGCCGCGCACATGCCGCCGGTCGTGATTTGCACCCCCCCCTCTTGGACACCCCCCTCTTGGCCGCTCCCGAAAGAAACACCCTGCTCGCCTCCAGGGGCCCCTAGGTTTCTTGTGCTTCGATGCTTTTGCGACGGAAAGCGTGGCGTTCCCACACCTAGAATCAATGGGCGTCCTGGGGGTTTCAGGGTTGGGCTTCTTGTGGAAGGTTTCGTGTGGACGGGCCTCCACTGTATAGCCAGGACCCCAGGTAAGGGGACCCGGTTAGTGGTTGGGCCCCAGAGCCTTTAAATTGGCCAGAATCACTAAACCAGGTCTACCGTAGCTGGTGTTTTTTTTCGGGTGACGGCAATTCGGGCCAGTGGAACGGGGCGGGGGAGGGCGTCCCCCAGCACACGTCACCAAGCCAGGTCCCACTGAACCCAGTTCTGCCAACGCCCGATAGGAAGCGCACGGTCACGTGCACCTTGGCGCATTGTCCACCAGGGGATCGTGGCTGCCCGGGCCAAGCATTTGGCTGGCATGGTCGGCAGGTCTCCAGCGAAGCGGCTGCCGGCCAGGGCGGTCCAGAGCGCGCCGCCCCCCCTTTGTGGGTCTCTTCCGTGGCCCTTTGCTACCTGCGTTGAGGAAAATCATCCAGCGACACGTCATTCGGGGAAAAACACAAGACTCAGTTTTTTGATTCGCGGGTCGAGGGCGCACCTCCTCCGGTCGAAGCTAAGCGGGCCGCGCGAAGCTTGAATTAACAGAGGGGGGGACAGAAAGACATAAGGCACAGGTGCACGCGGGTTTCGGGCCCCCCAGCGCCGATCCAAGACATCGGCGCAGTGCTCCGGAAGCTTGTATGTTTTAATACTAGTGGCCTTCGGCCCCTCCCGTCATCGTGCCCCCCTGGGTTGTAGGTCGGAGGCCTCTCGGATGCCTGTGGGGACCTCGTGGGAGGCCTCCCTGAGGCCTCTTGGGTTCGATTTTGGTGTGTCCGGGGGCCTCTCGGGGGTTTCTTGGGGGCCCCTTGGGCCTGACGTGGACTTCTTGTCTGGTTGACCCAGAATCAGTGGAAAGAGGGCGGTGCAATCGATTTGGTGCAGTAACTCTCTGGGGTTGCATTAAACTTGGGGCGTGCCAGTGGATTCTGGTGCGCAGGTGTATTGCTGGATTTTCGCATACAGGTGCACTAGTTGCAATACAATGCTATAAAATTCTCCGGCGGAATACATTTGCAATACAATTGCCCCAAATCTATTGCACCCCCCCCTTTTCAGCTGGATCCGTTTTGGGGTCAACCAAACCTTGGGGGGGGGTCCTGGAATTTGTGGGGGGCCTCTTGAGGGCCTGCTAGTGGCCTCTCTTGGGCCCCTCTTGAGGCCCTATTGGGCCCCCTTGGGGACCTCTTCGGCCGTCCTGGGGCCATCTTGGGCCGTCTGGGGGCACTCTTGGGGGCCTCTTGGGCCGTCTTGGGGCGAACTTGGGGGCCTCTTGAATGAGAAAAGGGATGACACGATAATCCGTAATGGAAAACATCTGTTTGGGCATCTCGGGACCCTCTTGGGTGGCCTCTTGGAGCCCTCTTAGGGTATCTTGAGGGCCTCGTCGGCCGTCTTGGGGCCATCTTGGGCGTCGTGGAGCGCTCTTGGGGCGACTCGGGGCCATCTTGGGCCCTCTTGGGCGCTTCTTTGGGCACTCTTGGCCCGTCTTGGGGCCCTCCCTCTGGACTCTGTGAAAGTCACGCGAGGAAGCCTGGGAACGCGCGGGAGCGCCAAGAAGATTTGAGATGTTGGGCTCCCTGCCCCGACTCGAAGAACTCCATTATTGGAAGCAGAGTACAGGGAATCCTTGAGGACCTGGGGAAAACTCCACTTCGTGCCCTGTGGCACGGTGGCGGAAACTTGTGTATATATATATATATATATATACACGTGCATATATACATAACTATATACATACACACATGCATAGATACACATTGGTGTGTGTATATAGTGGCCTTCGGCCCATCCCGCCACCGTGCTTGGGTTGCGGGTTAGAAGCCTCTTGGATGTTCGTTTGGATATCGTTGGAGGCCTCCCATGGGCCTCTTGGAGGCAGTTTGAGGCCTTTCGGTGGTCATTTGGGGGCCTCTTGCGGCCTCGTTTTGGACCTCACGGGGTTTGCGTGGGGCCTCTGGGGACCCTCTTGGGCTCTCTTGGGGGCCTCTTGGAGCCTCCTGGGTGCCTCTTGGGGCGAAAGGCTAGAGTTGTCGGTTCTTGCTCCCCCTCTTGGGTCCCTCTTGGGGTCGTCTTGGGGCCCTCTTGGGCGATCTCGGGCGCCTCTTGGGCAGTTTTGGGGCCCTCTCGAACCGTATTTATGCCCTCGTGGGGGCCTCTTGGGCCGTTGGGGCGGTCTTGGGAGCCTCCGGGGCCATCTTGGATCGTCGGAAGTCCGAAAACGCGAGAACGCGAAAAAAGTCAGAAAGCACGCGAGAAATCAATGATGTGTGCCTCTTTGGGCCCTCTTGGGGGTCCTTTTGAAACGCTCTTTGGGCTTATGTTGGGCCTCTTGGGTCGTCTTGGGGCCATCTTGAAAATAACACGCGAGGCAGCCTAGGAACGCGCGGGAACGCCTGGGAAATTTGAGAATTTAGGGCCTCCGCCCTGAGAATACTATAATCCTGGAGTCATAAGTGCAGAGAACAGAGGGCACATGAGGACCTGGAGAAACTTCCACTTCGCTCCTCGCGGCACGGTGGCGGATATAAGCACCCGTGCACCAACACGTAAGCGTATCCTCCCCAACGCCCGGTGATTAATGCCATTCGGGCTTGGGTGTTCGGCTGTTTCAGAGCGCACCAGCTGCGGTGGGGACCCTGGAGTGGGGCTTGATGCTGGCCTCTCCCCCCCGTGGCGCGGGGTGCTTGCCGCGCCCGGGGCAGCGGCCGCGGCGTTGCGGGTCGCTTCCTATACTGGCCCCGAGATCTCCACGGCAACGCAGTTGGCCTCGGCCCGCTCCCGGTCCGCGGCATTCAGGCCTTTTAGCCTCTAGTAAGGGTTCGTCGCGATGATGATGATGATGGACACAGCCAGAGGAGCGCGTGGCACGCATACTGCATGGTCGGGCTCTTGCCCGATTCTGCGCCGTCGATGTGCATCGGCAGCAGCTTCTTGTTCCCGATGATGAAGGCCCGGCCCTGCATCTCGTCCAAGAGCATAGCCCTGTGGTCGGGGGCGGAAAAGAGGGGGGTGATGACTAGGGGGGGGTGGATATCATGGCGTGGGCCATGATATTTCCCCAGATTTCATGGCGCCTCTTCTGATTTCATTACGTCCCTGGCCCCCCCGCTGGGCCGCGCACATGCCGCCGGTCATGATTTGCACACCCCCCTCTTGGACACCCCCCTCTTGGCCGCTCCCGAGCATAGCCCTGTGGACGCTTCGCCGGTACGAGTGCAGACTCGGCTCGTGCGCGTTCGTCGCGTCGACCTCCAGGGTCTGCCCCGCACCGGACGGTGGTTGCGCCAGCCTCGATGCCCCCGTGCGGGACGGCCCATGGAGGACAGGGAATTCATTCGGGGGTGGACAGAACCCCCAACAGTGACACGTCGATTAGTGAATTGTCCGTTTTCGGTTCTCGAGAGGGCGCCGCCGCCGTTATTTTCCAGGCTTGCGCCCGCCAGGTTTGGGCCTCAGGTCGTTTTCACTAAACCACGTTTTACTAAAGGGAGCTCTGTCCATCCCCGATTAATCCGTAAGGGCTTCGCCCCCTGCCGCCGGCCCCCTCTCTCGGAGAATGGGCCATGGAAGAGCTAAGTCATGAGGCCTTGGCGCTGTCGTGAAGCAGTATCGAAACTTCATGCGAAGCCGAGTCGCAATCAGCAAAACCAACTGATCACAAGAGGGGTTACCACACCTGGCGATTGGTAAGACGTGTATGGTTTAAGGGCTTGGTTACCACACCTTGCGATGAAAGGGCCGAGGGAGTTCTCGCAGTTTGGGTTACCACGCCTTGCGATGGATGTGCGTGATGGGCTCGAATTTCAGAAATGTGGCAAATCCCCTGTGTTTTTGGACCCTGACCCCGCGGATCTGCGTAAGGGGTGGCACCGAATTTCAGAAATGTGGCAAATCCCATGTGTTTTTGGACCCTGACCCCGCGGATCTGCGTGAGGGGTGGCACCGAATTTCAGAAATGTGGCAAATCCCCTGTGTTTTTGGACCCTGACCCCGCGGATCTGCGTGAGGGGTGGCACCGAATTTCAGAAATGTGGCAAATCCCTGTGTTTTTGGACCCTGACCCCGCGGATCTGCGTGAGGGGTGGCACCGAATTTCAGAAATGTGGCAAATCCCCTGTGTTTTTGGACCCTGACCCCGCGGATCTGCGTGAGGGGTGGCACCGAATTTGAGAAATGTGGCAAATCCCATGTGTTTTTGAACCCTGACCCCGCGGATCTGCGTGAGGGGTGTCGATTTCGAGCCCACCCAGCAATTCAGACAACACGCCCAGAGGAGGCTAAAAGTCTTGTTTGGGCCTCCCCCGCCCTCGCGCGGTCAATCAACTAGTTACAGTAACCAGCAAGAAGTCAACTAGTTACAGTAACCAGCAAGAAGCAGAACTGTAACACTGGAAACTACAAGCTACAACTGGTACAGGAAACTGCGAACCCGCGCCTACAGCCTGGTGGCCCCACAAGGAGGCCGGCGGATACCTGTCATCAATCTCACCAAAGTGCATCCAATATTCAATGAAGGGGCACAGAAGGTTTCATTGGCTTTGATCTTGCCCAGGTCGCTGCCCGTGCTGCTGGCTGCTCTTTCCTGCGCGCGTGCCCTGTCCCCGTCGCCGCGACGGCCTCCAGGAAATCCGTGCGTCGATGGTGGCCATCGCGCAGCTTCGCTGAAAGCTAGCGGGCACGCGTCGTGGACCAGCTCATGCATCCGCCAGAGACTGACTACCCACCATGCTTCGGGCGCCCACAACGTTCCCAGGGGGCATTATGGGTTTCTGCGCACACAGTGCTAGGCTTCCATACCCACACATAGAAGTGGCCGCGCATGGTGGCGCGCAGCCACTCCGACGGGCCACGGCTCTCAGCGTTGGCGTCTACACGCGGGGCCGTGGGCCCGCGTAGGTTCGTCGGAGAGTGGTCGATGCCGCTGCCGTGGCCGTGTCAGGAGAAGTATGCGCGGTAGTGGATGCGACCTGGGTTCTGCGCGTGCGTGGACAATTCGCATGGGCAGCTCCTGTACGTGGCGATGTACTCCTGGGCCCTTCCCTTCACGAGTAATGAGCTCGCCCCACTGGCGCGGGGGCAGCAGCAAGGCGAGGCAGTTGCACGTCATCGTGCAGGCCCGCGCGCGGAGCCGGAATCTACCAGCGCCCTCGCCAGCTCGAGGCGCTCCTTCCCGGCGCCCAAGAAGGACGGCTGCCGGCCCGCCTCGCCGGCTCGCGACCAGTCGCTCCCTCCGCAGCTCACCCAGACGGCCCAGTTGCTCGGCGGACCCCTTTGCCGCAGATTTGCTCGTGCAGCGCTTCGCGCTCGGCGCCTGCATCCCGCGGAGGCACCGGTTGCGGCCCGAGCTCGCCGGCCAGGGCGTTCAAGGAGCGGCTGACTCTGTCCCTGGCCTTGCGCTCCTCCTCGGCGGAGGGCATGCGCCAGGCCGAGGGGGCCAGGGCCTGACGGGCCAAGAGCTGCTGGCTCGAGCCACAGTGGCAACCGAATCCAACCCCCCCATGCGTTGGAACTCCCCGCGGAGGGCAGAAAACATCGATTGCGGGATCCTTCCCCTGTCTGGGGGGGCTGGGATCGACCTTCACTGCGACTCACCGCCTACGTCGCGCGCCTCTTGGATGGGAGAGCGGCATGGTCGGCGAATCGCCGTTGGAGATGGTCGGGCGCGGCGCGGCGCCGTCCGCGCAGCGAGACGGCGGCTGGGCGGGGACGCCTGGGCGTCGCGAGTGCGGCCTCGCCAGAGAAAGGCCAATCTTGGGGCCCGCGCTTGGCCCTCCGGCGTCGACCGGCCCGGCAAGAAGAGCAAGAAGGGGTTCTCTTGGCCGCGGGCGGCCAAGCTCGCGCCAGCGGGGACTGGCAGGCGACTTGGCAGAGGGCGGCGGCTCGAGACGCCCATCAGGTTCGAAGGAGAGAGCACGAGGAGCTTCGCTCGGACGCGTCCGCGCGCGGGCGGGAGAGTCGGGAGGCAGCCCGTGGAAGAGGGCGTCGGCAGCGGCGCGGCTCCGCGCGACCCTTCCGGGACGGGGGCCGCGCCCGCGCGCTGGCGGGAGGGCCGGGGGGCAGCCCGGCGGAGGAGAGCGCCAGCAGCGGCGGGGCTGTTCGCGACCTCTTCGGGGCGGAAGCCAGGTCCGCGCACCAGCGGGGGCGCTGGCCGCCGCTCGGCCTCGCGGCGGGGCAGCTCCACCAGCGAGCTCCGCCCGCAGGAGGAGGACGAACTCAGCGGCAGGAAGGTGCAGGGCGCGGCGAAGGCCTCAGGATCCACGCGGCGCCCGAGGATCCGAGGGGGGGCACGCGGTGGACGACGCGACGAAGGACCACCTGGAGCTCGACGGGGACATCGTCGATGAGAGGGAGGCACGGCCAGGATGACGGCCGCCCCGCGTGGCGACCGTGGAGGCCGCGCCCCCCGCGGCGCCTTGCTTTTTGCCGTTCGACGCCCGCTCAGGACGCCTCCCCGCTCGGAGGCCGTCGACCGCTTGCCATGGGGCGCGTCCCCGGCGGGGTTCGGCGGCGGCCCCATGGGGGGGGCTCTGAGTGGCTGTTTGGCGCGCCTCCGGGATAGTCTTGAGCCCCCGCCCTCCGGTGGGCTCCTCCACGGTAAGGACCCCCTTCCCGCCTTTGGGGGCCCCCATCCTCCGCCGCGGGCAGGGGAGGGCGTCCGGAGCGGGATGGGGGGCTTCAACCGCGGAGGACCCTATATGGGGGATGGGCAAGGCTTCGAGACAACGCCTCTCGGCCTCTGCGCGCGCGCGGTGGCGAATGCGGCGACAATGCCGCGGACAGGAGAAGAAGGGACGAGGTGAGGAGGTGGGCGGGTCCCGACGCTCGCATAGTCTGGGCGAGGCCCCGGCATCCCCTTCACCTCCGCGTATCCTGTCCCCACCTCCGTTCGTTGGCGTCTCACTCCCATCGCAAGGGAGGGCGTCGAGTCCCTGGGAGTGGCAGGGGCCCTGGGCCAGGGCCCCCGGAACCGCCACCCGAAAAAGGGTGTATCACCGTCACCTCCTCCCCTTCCGTTTTCCGCTATCATACCAGTATTACGGTCCATCGAGGGTACGCCTCCGTTTGTCAACACGTAAGTGTATCTTCTACAACCTCCCAACCTCTGATGACATTTGGGCTGATGCGCTCGGCTGTTTCAGAACAACCTACCCACCACCCTGGGGCATCAGGTTCCTGGGAATGGCAGGGGCCTTGAGCCAAGCCAGGGCCCCCGGAACTGCTACCCGAACAAGAGAGCATCACCGTCACCACCTCCCCCCCGTTTTTTCCGCCATCGCCCCGATATTTGGGTCCATCGAGGTTGTGTATAGAGAGAGGGAGAAAAGGAGAGAGAGAGAGAGAGAGATACCAAAACAAACAACGAGAGAGAGAGAGAGGGAGAAAGGGAGAGAGAGAGAGAGAGAGATAGAGATACAGATGCATTAACTATACATGTAGCTTTCTGCTCTTCCAAGGTCACTGGTGTGGACGACCTCGCCGAGCTCAAGGGCCGCAGCCGGCTGGACCTGAACGGCCGCCAGTTGCGCGAGCTGCCCCAGACCTTCTCTGAGTTGCGGGGGCTGTTGGAGCTGGACGTTCAGAGGAGGGGAAAGTACTGCTACTCCAGGTCTCTCAATAAGCGTGGGGAGTGGACCGCGTGGGGGGGTGGGAAACCGCTGTCCTTCGGGGGGCGTGGGGAGGCTGCGGAGCCAGAGGGGGTGGGTTTGGGGCGCGTGGGGGGGCGGGCAAGAGGCGCCGGACAGGTTGGCGCGGGGGGCTGCTTCTTGAAGGATGTGGAGTGCAGTTGCTCTTCCGTCGCCGCCACGGTTGGAGTTGCATCGAAGTCCTGCCCAGGGGGCGCCCCAGGACAGGTCTGTAGCAGCATCGCTGCTCTTCGTTTCCCCAGGACGCATCGCACAACCAGCTGTCGGCGCTCCCGGACAACATGGGGTCGCTGAGCTTGCTGCGGGTCTTGAACCTAAGGTCCAACAGGATACAGCACCTGCCCCACACGTTCACCCAGCTGGCGTCTTTGCGCGAGCTGGACTTGGCCCACAACTCGATCTACCTGCTGCCCGCCGAAATGGGAGACCTCGTGGAGCTACGCACGGTCGACCTTTCCCACAATGGACTCGTGGGCCTGCCCAGGAGCTTCGGGTCCCTGCACAATCTGCAGCGGTGCGACGTGTCCTCCAATGAGATGGAGCTGCTGCCGCAGATCGACAATCTGAATTCGCTGGAGACCTTGGATCTTTCTAACAACAAGCTCTGGGGACTCCCTGACGATTTCGGCGCTGAGATGCAGTGCCTCTCGTCGCTGGACCTGTCGCACAACAGCCTCAGCTGGCTGCCGTGGGCCTTCTTCGACCACCTATCGGAGGTCGGGAGGTTGGACCTGTCCCACAACAAGCTCTCAGCGCTGCCCCTGAGCGCCAGGCGGGTGGCGTGGGCTGACGGCGTGAACTTGCAGGGCAATCCTCGAGGAAGAAAACAACGGCTTCAACATAAACGTTCGGAGCTCCGCGCGGATTCAATCAATCCGCTCGGAACTAAACAGTGCTTGCACTCAGGGGCTGACACTTCTCTGATTCAGGGATTGGTTGGGTCCGGCGAGGATTCGGCCACGATGCCGCCCGTGGCCACCCCGTGGCCGCCTCGTGCGCTGGGTGGGTCTGGCGAGGTTTTGCCACGTTGCCGCCCGTAGCCGCCCCGTGGCCGCCTGCTCGTATACTGCATCACGCAGCCTGCACCGCACAGCTTGCACCACATACCACGCAGCCACAGTGCAATAATCTGCGTAGCATCTCGCTGTTGCTGATAAGAGCGATGGGGGCGGGCGCGGGGTGGGTCGCGGGCACGTCGCCGGTGGGTCGCAGGGCGGGTCGCGGGTTGGGTCGCGGATGGGTCGCCAGGGGGTCGGGGGGGAACGATGACAACAACAAGCAGAGTCCAGACCACGGAATCCCACTTCACCCACGTGCCACGCACCCAGGAATGGTGTGAACATGCCATTGTTTCTTCCTCGGAATCCTTCGGTGGCAACTCATGGGAGCCTCCCATACCATCTTGTCGGCTCTTGCGAATCGACGCTAAATCGACGCTAACCGACGCTACATCGGCGCTGTCTCATCAACTCCAGACGCTACTCGACGCTAGTCGACGCTGAAGACTGAACTTAGATGGTATACGCCCAGACATGTGAAGCCCTGACTTTTTCAGGACGGCGCCCCCAGAAGTCCAGACCCCTTCTCCGGGGCCGGCTCTTCCTCCTGCGTCCTCTTCTGACGATCTCCCGAGGCCTGGCGAGGGCCCCCCGAGGCCGAAGCTGGCCAAGAACCTCCCGCCCCGATTTTGTTTTTCCACTGCGCCGCGATCGTGTCTCACGAACGAACAACACACCCATACCCATAGGGGGGTCCTTGGGAGGAGGACTGGCTCTGGGTATGGGTGCGGGTTGTCGGACCCTGGGGGAACGCTCCTGTTCGAGCGGGGACCCCCATTCGACAACACGCACCCATAGCCCTCTCCGACCCCCCTATGGGTATGGGTGTGTGCTGTTGCTTCGTCACGTCTCTGGGCGGGGCTCCCGCGCCTTGCCGCCGAAGAGCGTCCCTGGCCCCCGTGGTCCCTGCTGCTGGCGAGCCGCGCCCTCGCGCTGGCGGGGGGCGGCTGCCGGTGCCGGCCCGGCGCCTGGTGGCTCCCCGCGGCGGGCACCGCGAGGCAGATCGGTGTCGTTTACCATTAAGTCGGGCCTGTCCCCCTACAGGGGGATTTTCGACGAAAAATAAAAAGCACCCCAGGAATAGTCGACAAATAATGCAAAAATAGTCTGGGGACTTTTTTGGGGGTATTTTTGGACCTTTTCGGGGTACTTTTGGGGTATTTTTCATTTTTCGTCGAAAATCCCCCTGTAGGGAGACGCGTCCGACATAAGTTTACCAATTTGAAACATATCCCTATCCCTATGTTTGGCATCACCTCACCTCGATGCCGATCTTAAGGATTCCCTCGGTTTCTGAGGGTCTATCCCCAAGATTGTCCTCGCTTTTTGCTCACCCATCTTAGGGATAGGGATAAGTTCGAGGCTGGGTAGTCGTTGCCAGGCATGCGGCGTCGTGATGTCTGCAGGGCGGCGCCCCCCGGGAGTCCAGGCCCTCTCGGAAGGGGCCCGGACATCGAAAGGCCCTTTCCGCAAGGGCCCGGAGGAAGGCCCTCTCCGAGAGGCCCTTTCCGAGAGGGCCTGGAGGAAGGCCCTTTCTCAAGGCCGGGGAGAGGGCCTGGACTTCAGGGCCCTTTCCCCATGCATCGGAGGAGGCCCTTTCCGAAAGGCCCTGTTCCGATGGGGACCGTCAAAAACGACTCGGGATGAAAAACCGGCCCCAGGGACATAGGGGGCCACATGTGAACCTCCCCCTACCCCCCACGATTTCTGAGGGGGGGGGTTCACTCCGTCACTCCGTTCGGGAGCTCCCGAACGAAGTGAACCCCACCCTCCCCCCTCTGAATCGTGGGGGGTAGGGGTAGGGTTCACATGTGTCCCTCTAAGGGAATCCCCGGGGTCGGTTTTGCATCCCGAGTCGTTGTTTGACGGTCCCGAGGCCGGGCGGGAGCCCCCCGAGGCCGAAGCTGGCCAGAAAGCTCCCGTCCCGCGTTTTGGTCACGACGCGGTCATGTCTGGGTTTAGCCGATCCCCATCCCCGGCCCCATCCCCTTCGAGACCCCCAACCAAATTACCCCCCCCAGTTGGGCATGCGCCCCTCGGAACCCGAAGGATGCGGCCTATACCCCCATCTTAGGGGGGCAGATCGGCCAGTGGGGCCCAGGCCACGCCGCTGGGGATGGGGATCGGTTAAACGATACTCAAGGCAGCCGACCTTTGCGGCGGAGGGCGTGCGGGACGGCATGCGGGAGGCCCTGAACGGCGAGGTCCGAAGAGGGCAAATCTCAGAGGAGGAAAAGGTGCCCATACCTCTACCCTCCCCTCGTTTTCCCCTTTCTGGGCCTCCTGGGCTGCCCTCGCTGCCACCGCTGGATTCGCCTCGAATTCCTGGTCAGAACGCAGCCGGCGAGAGGACCGGGGAGTAGAGGTATCAGTAGCGGTATTGGTACCTTCTTTGGTCCCCCCAGGAGGCACATCGGCACGCACACGATGCGTCCCAGAGAGGGGCCTCGCCTGCTTCGGGGCTCGTGGTGGTTGATGTCTCGGACTCGACGGAGGGCGGCGGAAGCAAGACGAGGCTGCCTCCGCCGGCGGAAGCCGGAGGAAGGCTGGCGGAAGTAAGATCGGTCTCCCAAGAGATGGCAAGGTATTCTGGGCAAGGGTTTTCGGAACCCGCCGCGTAAATCCAGAGGGTGACAAGATACCGATGCCGCGGCTCGTCCTGGAGGGCCCTCGTCGCTGCGGCGAAAGGGTCCTCGAGTTCTGGCCAGACCGCACCCTGGGAGAGGTCCAGGGAGCAGCGGTATCGGTGCTCCCGTGTCTCGGCGGCGGGCGAGGGGGGGAAGTGAGAAGGAGAGGGCCTCCTCAGAAGGCGGCTGCACTTCTCAGAAGACCCCGCGCCTTCCGAGAGTTTTTTCTGGTGCCCCCTGCAGGTGCAGGAGGCCACAGAGGCGCAGCCCGCCAGCGACGAGGCCGAGTGAGCCACAGAGGGGTCGCCGCGCCCGCGCGGCGGCCCCCGAGGCGGAATTCGCCCACTGCACGTGCCTGCGGCTGCCCCGATACGCCCGCTTTGAAAAAGCAGGACGCACCGTGCTCAGAGCCTCCGCCCTGAACACGGTGCGTGTCGGCTCGGCACGTGCTGGTGCCCGTCCGGGCGAACGCACCGCGCCAGAGCTGTGTTCTCAGTCTGCGCCGTTGCGCTCCGTGTCGACACGCTTCGTGCTGCGTGCCGCGTATCGGGGCAGCTCACTGTGCGGGTGTCAGCTCGGGCGGGCGTTGGCCCCTGCTCCCGCCGGGGCGGGAACTGGCGCACGTCTCCGGGGCAACCACGGGCGGTGATAGGCGTATGGCTGATCGGCAGATTCTCCACCACTGCCATGCCGTATGTAGGACGGGGGAGAAGGGAGGATGAGCAGGTCCTCCTCCTCCTCCTCCTCCTCCTCCTCCTCCTCCTCCTCCTCCTCCTTCTCCTACAAGTGGTAGTGATGGTGGAAAATGGGCCCATCACAGGGGGGATGCGTCGACCCCCTACCGCCCATTGATCGCCGATATAGAGGGGCCCGATGGCCTCCCTGGGCCCAGGAACGTGCGGATTCATGATCGGGGGCCCATCGCCCACGTCTCGGCGACGTGTCGCCGAGTCCAGGTCCATGTTTCCCCTCCTGTGCCAGTTCCCCTCTGTCGTTGCCTCTCAACGTCCGCCGCCTGGGGTGCCTGTGCTCGGGGGCCCCACGGGAGGTAGCGGGCACGGGCACTGCCAGGCCTCCCCGGGTGGGGTCCGAGCAGGCGGGGTCGCAGGACCGCACCGCATCGCCGACGCATTGGCGATGCGGCTCGGTGTGGAGCCCGATGTTATCTGCGCCGTTGCGCCGATGCATCGCCGACGTCGCCGCAGTATCGCCGGTGCATCGGCGATGCGCACGACTCTCGGACCCCATCTGCTCGGACCCCTCCTTGGGCGGCCTCCGATTCTGGCCCCCCGGGTCCCGCGAGACTCCAGGGCGCCCCATAGACCTGGGCAGGCCTCGTCTCCCTCTCCTGCCGGTGCCGCGCCTCTCCTGCTCGGGGGGCGCTCACCTGGGCGCCAGTCGATGCATCGGCCGACCACCACGCTGGGGCTGTCGTGGTGGGCGTCCCAGAGGAGCGCGCCGGTCTCGGCCAGAGCAGGGGCCCACAGGGGCAGCCCTGTCCGCTGCCCCCGGCAGTGCTCGGGCACCTCCTCCTCCGGGCGGTGCTGCGCGAGTAAGGGCCGCTGGCCTCGGGCGCCGCGGCCGCGCGGCCCTGTCCGTGCTGATCGCCCCGTGGGGCCTCGCTGTGGGACCCTATGCCCCCCTTCAAGCCGAACTTCGCCCCCGCGCCGCCCCATGCGCCTCCTCCATGCCCTCTGCGGCCTGCCAGCCTCGTCCTCGCAGCCGACGTATACGAAGTCGCCGCCGTCGTCCTCGCCGTCGTCATCTTCGCCGTCGTCGCCGTTGTCGTCGTGGTCGTCGTCGCCGCCGCCGCCATCGTCGTCGTCGTCGTCGTCGTCGTCGTCGTCGTCGTCGCCACCCTCCCTCGTCGTCGCGGTCGTCCTCGCGGCGCGACGAATGCGCCGCGTACGCCCTCTCCCCCCCCCATGGCCTCTGCGCCCAGCCCGTCTCGTCCTTCGCACTGCGCGCCTCGCCGTGCGGCCCCGACCGCGCGCGCGCCGCCGGCCCGCCGCGCCGCGCCGCGCGAGGAAGAGAGGAGGCGAGGCCTCTGCAGAGGGCCCGACCCGATGCAGCTGCTTGTCCCACAGTGGCTGTGTGGCCTGGCGCCTCCTCCTCCTCCTCCTCCTCCTCCAACTCCTCCTCCTGCTCCTCCTCCTCTCCTCCTCCCCTCCTCTCCTCCTCCTCCTCCTCCTCCTCCTCCTCCTCCTCCCTCCTCCTCCTCCTCCTCCTCCCTCCTCCTCCCCCCTGCCTCCTCCCTCCTGCCTCTCCTCCCTCTCTCTCCTCCCTCCTCTCCTCTCCTCCTCCTCCTCTCCTCCTCGTCCTCCTCCTCGTCTCTCTCGTCCTTCCTTTGCTCCTTCTCCTCCTCTTCCTCCTCCTTCTTCTCCTCTTCCTTCTCTTCCTCCCTCCTCCCTCCTCCCTCCTCTCTCCTTCCTTCTCCCTCCTCTTGTCTCTGTCCAGTGGCCCCTTGCCCTCATGGTGTGTGTGAGAGAGAGAGAGAGAGAAAGAAAGAAAGAAAGAGACTTGCGACCAGGTTGCCGACGCGAGGTCCGCAACACTCGCAATTGCGCAGGGCAGGCGCTGGGTAGGAAGGCAGGGTGGGCTCGGACTGAGTCACCACGCACTGAATCCTCCTCCTCCTCCTCCTTCTCCTCTTCCTCCTCCTCCTCCTCCTCCTCCTCCTCTTCCTCCTCCAACTTCTCCTCCTCCTCCTCCTCCTCCTCCTCGGGGAAGGCTCGCGGCACCCTCGCCCCCCCCTGGCCAGACTGAGCGACACCGACTGGGACCTGCTGGAGCAGCTGCTGCGCACCGTCAGCGGCGCCAGGCTTGGCGGGCGCCGGCCCAGAGCGCTGGACGTCGTTGTCGTCGTCGTCGTCGTTGTCGTCGTTGTCGTCATGGTTGTCGTCGTCGTCGTCGTCGTCGTCGTCGTCGTCGTCGTCGTCGTCGTCGTCGTGGTCGTCGTGGTCGCCGACGCCGTCGCCGTCGCCGTTTTTCGTCGGACGTCGCCGCCGCCGTCATCGCGCGGGATCGAAGATCAAGGGTCGATGAGGCTTTTCGTTGTTTTCGTTCTCTGGTGGGCCCGTTTCGGGCCCTGACCGTGAGAAGTCGATCCGGGGTGAAACCTGGCCAGGATGGACACGGGAAGGAGTCGGGGGACACGTTCAGAGCTTGGGGAACATATTTTGGGTCGTCGTCGTCGTCGTCGTTGTCGCCGTTGTCGGAGAGGGGAGAGGTAGAAGGAGGAAGGATTTGCCAGGAGACGCGCGCGCATCACACCCCGTCGCCAGGATTGCGGGGGCTTGTCTCTTCTTCCTTCCTCGGAGCGAAAGCCACATAAGCATAAACTTTAAGCGCTCCGCGCGGATTTCTTGGATCCGCGCTGGGCCCCCCCTGGCGGCGTCTCCGGCGCCGCCCCTGGCACGCTCCGCGCGCCAGGGAGTGGGGTCGGCGCGGATCCAAGCAATCCGCGCGGAGCGCCAAACGATTATGTCTGTGCGTTTTTTGTTTGTTCTTCTTCTTCTTCTGCTTCCACCGCGTCCATTTTGGCTCGAGCCCCGCCCTTCGAGAACGGCCACTCGGTGATTTTTAACCTTCGCCGGAGAGGACGCCAACCGCACACGACACGACACGACCCTGGCCGGGCAGCTCCGAGGCCAAGGGGGCGTGCCCGGCCAGGGTCGGCGCGGGTCGGTGGCTGGCTCCTCCCAGAGGTCCTTTGCGCCCCAGGCATCGGCGGCGAGCCCGGGGGGGAAGTGAGGAGGAGGGTGCCTCCTCTCAGGCGATCGCAAACATGGATCAAGGGGGCGTGGATTAGCGACGCGTCCCGGTTCCACGGATTTCCACCGCCGGGCGAGGCGGCAGCGGCCGCATTCTGGGGAGGGCACCTCCCCCGATCCATGGATCAGGCGACCGCGCGCCAAATCCATGGATCGCCAATCCATGTTTGCGTACCCCCGATTCTCGGAAGGCTCGGAAGTCCCGGGGCCTTCTGAGACGTTTTCTTTCGAAGCCTTCCCTACGACACAGGAGACTTCTCAGAAGGCCCAGGGGGCCTTTTAAGAAGTCCCGCCGCCTTCTGAGAAGGCCTTCTCCTTCTCACTTCCCCCCCTCGCCCGCCGCCGAATGTGGTTTTAGGGTCAAAAGTCAGGTCTCCAGCGGCCGTTCGGGACGATCTGGGCACCCCAGGAACGCCCTCGGCGAGGCGCAGCTGCTGACAAGCATCTCGAGGCTGGAAAACCGCCGAGAATCAACGAAGACGTCCGAAAACCTCGAACCTCGAACCTCGAACCCGAACTGTTCCCCCATTCGCTCGCCGCCTAGAACAAGCTCACACCTCTTGGAGGGCAGAGGTCTACTTACTCCGGCCTCCCCCTGCACAGCCCTCACGCTTTATTTCCGCTGGCCCTTCACCGCACGTCAGCTTCTCGATGCCTGGAAGACGTTGCCCTAGCAGGAGCGCCACGGTTGGTGTCCTTGCACTGACATCCAAGGGAGGAGAAACCACCGAGACCCCGACAATTGGCGTCTACTAAACGGCCCTGGGCGTTTACTAAGCAGCCCCGCCCTGTCCGATTCCTTCCTCGGGCGCGCTTAATTACTAAACGGCTTCGCTGGTCGTAATGCTGACTATGGGGGTGGATTTTGTGCCTTCTGTACGTGTCCGATCCACAGGAGCTTCTTGGAAATCTGTTCGCAGCTCGCCAGAGTAACGCAGCCGCGCAACAACGCGCAGCTCCGCGCAGCATCGCGCCCTCCACTGAGCGGCGCTGCGAGCGTTGGGTGCAGGTTTCCAAGCTGGTTCCCAGAGGCTGTTCTGTGGATGCCGTGGGCTCCGCCAGCACTCCTCAGAACCGCGTCGAGGCTTCCCGAGCCATCTCGGAGCCGTCTTGGGGAGCTTCCTTGCGCCGTCTTGCGCCGTCGTGGGTGCCCGCTGTCAGGAGGAGGAGGAGGAGGAGGAGAGGAGGAGGAGGAGGAGGAGGAGGAGGAGGAGGAGGAGGAGGATGAGGAGGAGGCGGAGGAGGAGGAGGAGGAGGAGGAGGCAGGAGGAGGAGTGAGGAGGAGGAAGGAGGAGGAGGAGGGGGAGGAGGAGGAGGAGGAGGAGGAGGAGAGGAGGAGGAGGAGGAGAGGAGGAGGGGAGGAGGGGAGGAGGGGGGGAGGGGGAGGGGGAGGGGGAGGGGGGGGGAGGGGGAGGGGGAGTGGGAGGGGTTGGGAGGAGGAGGGGGAGGAGGAGGAGGAGGAGGAGGCTGAGGGGGAGGAGGAGGAAGAGGGGGAGGAGAATCCGAGCTGCATAGACA